TCTGTACACAGTAATATTTGTATCTTTCTTAAAATACTTCCTATACATACCTCACCCTCGTGCTAGAATTTTGTGTCTTATGTCTTATACTTCTTGGTATAATCCACAACATCCTAGCAAAATGCCTGACACACACTATCTATGAAAGACCTGTCAAGTCAAACAGGTAAAATGACAGTATTACATACAATTATGGGCATGTATTTAGAAACCTGATACCATGCTAATTTTCTAGAGAAGTTTCTTATTCATGCATATATCCCTAGCTCAGGCCATTATTTCACAAACTAGTCTACTCTGTGTCAGCACTGAAGGGTTCAGAACAAGTCACCCCAGAATGTGCCACTCTGACACGTGGATTATTTTGAACTAAAGGCAATCAAGACCCAGCAAACTCAGGAAAAGCTTTTTACCTACTCCTTAACTGCCTAAAAGAAACTAGAAAGGGGGCCTGTAACCAGGAAGAAAGTTATCATCAAAGATAACTTTTCTATCTGGGAGTCTTATGTGCAAGGCAGGACAAAAATTCATTTACCAAACATTTGCTTTCTTCACCTTCCTGTGAAGTGCCTTCCTCCCCTTTGAAACCCCAGACCCCTATCCTTTTCCTTATCCCAGGATGGTACGTAAGTGTCAACTGCCTGGCTGCCTTTGAGCCTCGATATTTGTGGGGCTCCCACAAGTATGTATATAATTATATTTGTTTTTCTCCTTTTAAACTTTTTATTGCAGGGGATCTCAGACAAGAACCTAGAAGAGTAGAGGGAAATATTTTTCTTCACCTACAGCATCTTCCTCTTGCAATGACTATTTTGTAAAGATCATCTGTAAAGATTAATTGTTCTGATTCCTTTCAACACTAAAGGCTATCAAATCAAAGTAACTTCCTTGATCCCATGCCTTTAAGGATTCCTACCCAAATCTTTGAAACTCATCGAAATGTCCACAATCTAGCCCAAGCTCTTTACTATAGTTGGGAGTCTTCAAATACATCTACCTGTTCTTCTTAGTTACTGTCAATCATGCATGCTGTTTTCCCCCAGTAGAACATCTTTACTATTTTCTATGCAAAAAAGTTATACTTCTACATCAAAATCTTAAGTTTCATTCCTCTTCTAGAAGCCTTCCCAGGGCTGCATTATCTATCTTGAGTCACTTTGGTTGTAACTGCTTCAGTTATATAAGATTAATTATTCAGTACTTGCTGTCATTTATAGTCATATTTATGTCACCATAGTATATACATATATTTAGGTTAAATGTAGAGGATTCTCTTTTAAAATCAAGAACCATTAGCTCACAACAAGGTATGCATATATAAATAGAAACCTGATTCAGTGTTGTAGTCTTTGGCACAGCAAATACTAGTGGCAGTACAGTGCAGTTGTAAACAGCACAGACTATTAAGGCAGACTACCTGGTTTCATAGCCCTGGCCTTGGTACTAATTATTGTCCTTCGTACCCTTCGACAACTTACTTTAACATCCATGCCTATCAGTTTTATCATTTAAGAGTCACCATAAAAATTACATGTGTTCATATACATAAAATACTCTAAAAAGCGTCTGGCATATAAATTCAGTATAATTATCCATTATTAATTATTATGCTGTTGTATTAGGTTGCTGTAACAAAATACCATGAACTGGGTGGCTTGTCAATAACAGAAATGTATTTCTCAAAGTTCTAGAGGCTGGAAGTCCAAAATCATGATGCCAGAAAGCACATTAGCTAGCTCTCTGGCCTATTCTTATAAGAGCACTAATACTACTCATGGGAGCTTCACTCTCCTCACCTTCCTGACCTAATTACCTCCCAAAGGCCAACATCCAAATACCATCACAATGGGGTTAGTGTTTTAACATATGAATTTGGGGGGAACACAAACATTCAGTCCAGAGTGGCTGTTAGGATGTCTATCCTCTTAACTTTACAATGGAAGATACACGAAGCTCAAAAAATCTAACATCTTTGACAAGAGTCATAAGAACAAGGAAACTGTAAAGCGAGAAGAGAAACACAGGACTTCTAGTCAAGGAACCTGCTCAATTCCCCATGCTAAACTTTATCCAACAATTTTTTAGGTCTTCAGGTCCATTTTATGATAAAGAAAACATGGTAACAAGATGAAAGAGATCATAAAAAGGAAAATGAAAGACATTTATATACTCAAAGATTAAGAAAAGAAGAAAGGAATACTGTAATGATCAAGACAGAACATGGGCTTATGTTCACTAAATGGAGGTGGCAGGGAGGTGGTCCAGAGGATTAAGAATATTAGGCTGGAGATAACCATCAGGCTTTATTTTCATTTTGGATAAGAAGATATTGTTACATGCATCTTTAAATCCCACTTCTCTTTAGTAGTTTAGAAAGCCTTTTCTATTCTATTACAAGCTCATCTCTCTTCAAACATATTTAAAGTGCTTTGATGTTTCACATAGAATTCTGATGTTTAACAACATGGACAAAGGAATAACAAATTTCAGAAAGTTAATAAAGAACTTCCAGGAATGTCAAGAAATTCACCATCTACATTTAAAAACCCTTTAAAAGTTTCAACTTATCAGTAATGTTTAGTTTTTCAGAAAACTTTAAATGTAAAATATCATATTTAGAACCATCACTATTTGACTGTCTTGGGCATTTCCTTAAATAAAACCCAATGGCTACTTAAAATATAAATTCTGTCCTAATAAAAGTACTACCTACCCCAAAATAAACCTCTAAATGAAAAATACAGACACATCAGTTTCACGGGCAGTAAATTGTATTTTGTAAAAACATTGTCTTTCAGAGTATGTTAAACAGTATCTGCCTCCCTGATTATATGCACTCTGCTTACAGTTTGTCTCTTTCTGTTGGTTCCTCTCCTACAATAGCAACGCATACACAGCTCAGGCCAAAATAAGGATCGATATTACCAACCAAGAGGCTCTAGTACTGAATATTTTAAGGAATTATTCTACAAAGGTAAATTGTTGATGCTTTTACATGCTTTTAACTTAAAAGCAGGATACATACAAAGATAAACAGTAGAAATACAGAAAATGTCCAGAAAAGGAGGGGGACTCTCAGAAATAGATTACTCTTAGAACTATGAAAAAAATGTATTAGAATAAAAGGCAAGCTTAATATCCAAAAGGAATGCACAGCTGTCAAACCAACTATCAATTCAAATTTCCAAAAATAATTCAAGCTCCAGAAACTTAAGAAGAAAACCAATGGTAGCCCTTCAAGATATACATCCTTAAGGGTAGATGTGTTTACTGCCCTATATTATAATAGTGTCTCCTTCTAGAGCAAAGGGCAGGCAGGTTATGCTGTTATAAAAAATTCAGTCTCCCTAAGCTCAGGACTGCTTGTAATCCAACTCAATGCCTATACAGCTATTCATCCTGCCTGTCTGCCTTGCCTCCATGGATCTGCGGAACGGGGAACTGATGTTGATATGCAGACACTGCTCTCTGCACCTTGAGCAATAAAGTCCTTTGTCTCTAACCTGCGCCAAAAGAGATATACATCCTTGCTGATGCTCTGGGTTAAACAATGCAGATTCTTCCCCCTTCTTTCAAATTCTGGCAATAGAAATGCAATGTTTTGTGCTCTACATTTTCATACAATTAAAGTCCACATGCAAAGAATGTTTTAAAAGGTAGAAAGACGCTGGAAGGAAGAACTGTGAGGCTTATTCCCTCTCAAACCACTGCATACATGGCTTATCAACATCTCGGTCTTAATCCTGTTATCTAGAATAATATACCACCAATACTAAACTATAACTTCTTAAACTTTGGCTTGTATAAAACAAAAAGTATGCTGGCCTAAGAGTTTACCTTTAATGCTATGTAGCTTGGTAACTAGAGTATGACTCCCTCTGTTGGCTCCATAGACCTGCCTGACTAAACCCCATTGCTGCTACATCTCATTAGGCTCACCAGATCCCAACCTAAACCCAGCTTAAAGTTTCTTACTTTTGAGGTTGGGAAGTTTTACCTCCCTACCAGAATAGGCACAGGACAAATTTTCTTGACCAAATGCTTAACCAGTTTCCTTCACTTTCATCTCATCCTTTTGTCCTGATTTGTTCTGTAAACATTTACTGATTCCTAATGATAAGCTATGAAAAACACTAATACTAGAGATGCAAATATATTTTTTCTGCCCTCAGGGGATCACAGCCCAACAAAGGAGACAAATGTACAAACAATTTCTACAAAGTATGAGAAATTCTATGCAAGAGCTCTTAAAAATTATTTAAGAATACAAATGAAAATTGAGGAGAGCCTTCACAATACAGTTCACATTTAAAATGGGTCTTGGGGAATAGTAGGTTAGGATAGTATGTGTGTTTTAATTGAGATGCTGGAAATAGTGAAAAAAGCTGAAAGACAAAGTTATTGTCTGATGACAGCCAAAATGTTGACTTAAAATATGTTACAATAAATAAGGTCAACTAGAGCTCCTCTTTCTTTTATTCTTGCAAATTAATATTCACCAAGAATTCACAAATAAAAATTATCTCAACACACACACACACACTTAGAATTTTTGTTTACAAAATAATTATTAGATAGTTGGAAGCAGGAAAAAGCACTGTGAGGACAATCAGGAAAATGCAATGTAATCAGACTAGTTATTTACAATGAAAAGGAATAGTTTTGTTATATAAAACCTTTCTTCAATGTTGTAGATGCAGAGGAAAGAGTACCAAATTAAAACTTAAGAGATCTGGATTCAAGTCTCAGACAACACCTATGCTCTAATTCCAAAAACAAGAAAACTTTTTACTTAATTCCTACACTGCCCAGATCACTCAGAGATGTAAAGATCAAATATGAGTCTGACAGTGCTTTGAAAAAATAGATGTCCTAGTTTTATACAAATAAAATATTACATTCACTGCGGTTACACTTGCTGCATTGGAAATGAACTTTTAAAGTCTGTTTTTCTGACATAATAACCCTGTATAATAAATTTGTGATAAAGAGCTTTTTACCCGTTCTACAGATCGTGCTCTCTTCTTTGGCCGAGTAGGTAGGGCATCTTCCTTCGGATTGGTGTCTATTGCCCAATAGGACCCCTAAAGGTAAAGAAATAAATTACATTAACAGTGTATTACACAAACTCTGTAACATTAAAATGGATTTTTACAATCCTCTGCTCCAAAACGAACAGTTTGCGTATGCAACGATAGAAAAGTAACATGGGAAGAAATACTAGCCTTGAAGTGAGAAAAGTAAAGTTTATGAGAATAAAAGTCCATTGACAGCTAGATCATTAAGAGAAAAAAATCACAATCTGAAGAAACCACATCCAAAAATTTCTGCCACTGACAAATTAAAAAAAACAAATGGTCAACTGAACAGATTTTAAAATACATACTAATTCTTAATTGAACACATATGATAATTACAACAGAATATGACATTCTAATCTGATAGAATTTTATGTATAGCTATTATAGTTTCTGCATCCTGGGACCTCACAGATCCAAATGATAAGTGAAACAATTTATAAAGACAAACTGCTTGAACACATTTTACATATTAAGTGCATCCTAGGAAGCAATACTCTGCACATCAATCTTTTGTTGCTTGTTCTGTCATAATTTATTTTAATTAGCTCCTCTCTTTCTGATAAAAATTCACATACTACTCATTCGAAAATACATACTGACCACCTACTGTGTTCCAGGCACTCAGAATTGTGACTGCCTGAGTATTTCAAAAAATACTCTGAAAAGCTTAGATTATATAAGTGTATAAATTATATAGATGAGGAGACAAATGCTCAGAACAATAAAAGTGCTTTGCTCAACCAAGGATATGAGAGTCAGGACCAGAATCAAGGTCTTGACTCTCATAGGTCCTTTCTCTCTCAGTTGTTAAATACTGTATAAAATTTCTCTCTCCTCTCTCTCTCTCTCTCTCTCTCTTTCTCTGAGGGAAAGAAAGGGAGTAAAAAAGTTAAAGGAGGGAGGGAGGGAGACGTGCATTTTAGAAACAAAATAAAATGCATGTCCTAGTTTTTACAATGAATCCCAGTGATAGTATTCAAGTTCTTTGCCTTTATTATTTCATTAATCAATCTTTCTTGGCTGCTTTTCCAGAGAATATTTGGCAATGAGGGGAAATACAGCTCTCATCTATCAATCCTCACACTTTGTGCCCAATGTGTATTATCTGCTTATAGTTCCTTAAACACACCACATTATTTCATGCATCTGTGCCTGTCCTACATGCTGATCTCATTATCTATAATATCCTCCTTCCACTGACAAGCTCATACTACCTTCAAAATTTAGCTCGGATGTTATGTAAATGAATCCTCTGATTCTCCTATCATATTAAAAAATTTATCACCCTCTCCCTCTGCAAGATCTCTATACCTTTTATACATTGCGACCATTGACTGCATATAATATTACTATTTTACTTACAGGTCTGTATCCTGTCTAGGCTGTAAGTTCCTTAAGGCCAGAAATTCATTTGTATATCCATGGTGCAGGCACAATGTCAGACACAGCAAGTATTCAAAATCATTTGTTGAAATGGGAACAATGAAAGTGGTTGAACAAACTGTGCCCAGAATGTCAGAGCATAGCGTATGATACAAAGCCTTCCCAGATCCTGGTCTGTGCAGGTTCCTGGACTAAGTACTCATTTTCAAGGTGGTCACTACATTTCAGCTAATGAGCCTACCAGACCTGATGTAAACTTGCAAAGAATGATGTAAATATAGATGCTACACAAATTAAGTACTAAAAATGAAAACAATGATTTCATGAGTTGGTACAGTTAGCAAGTTTCGAAATAAAGTAGGATAAAGTTTTGCACTCAGTTATAATAGTTGAAAATAAAGCAGGAAGACAAATACCAAAACTCTGGACAATAGTGTAAAAACCACTGTTCATGGAAATGATAAATTCCAGTGTTTTGTTTTAATGTGTATTAATGTGGGGGAAAATCATTCACAGTCCAAACTTAAGACTGATTTCTTATTTAACATTTGAATACAACTATATAAAAACAAATACCCACCTCCTCTTCTATGCAAAATATGACTGGTTGTGGCTTGTCATTTTTTCATGTAACATTATCCATTATGTCCTCACAAAAAGCTGAATGCCCAAATAAAAACACTAACAGTTGAAATGTTTCACAAAGCTATAAGATCATCCACCTAATGGCTCTCGCTCCCTATTATCTGAGTTTCATCTGTGAATTCACAAGTTTGGATTAAATGACCTTAAAGTTTCCCTTCACAAATCAAAACCACAAGATACCACTTCACACCTATTAGGATATCTATTATAAAAAATAATAATGATAAAACAGCAAGTGTTGGTGAAGATGTGGAGACACTGGAACCTGTGCATCACTACTGGAAATGTAAAATGGTTACAGCCACTGAAGAAAATGGCACAGCCACTGTGGAAAACAGTATGGCAGTTTGTCTAAAACTTAAATATGGAATTACCATATGACCCATCAATTTCACTTCTAGGCATATACACAGAAGCATAAAAAGCAGGGACTTGAACAGGTATTTGCACACATGCTCACAGCAGCATTATTCACAGTAGCAAAACATGAAAGCAAGCAAAGCATCCATCAATGGATGAATAAATAAAAGTGGTGTAATGTATATGTGTGTGTGTGTACACACACACACACACACACACACACACACACACACACACAATGAGTACCACTCAGTTTTAAAAAAGAAATTCTGACCTATGTATAACATGAGTAAGCCTTGATGACATGTTAAGTGAAATTAGTCAGTCACAAAAAGACAAATACTGCATGATTCCATTTACATTAAGTACCCATAGTAGTCAAAATCAGAGAAAGTAGAATAGTGGTTGCCGGAGGCTAGGGGGAGGAGGGATGAGGAATTACAATGAGTACAGTCCGGGAAGGGGCAAAAACTTCCGGAGATGGATGCTGGGGATGGCTGCACGATGTTAATGTACTTAATGCCACTGAACTATACACATAAAAAATAGTTAAACTACTTTCTGTTTTCTATTTTCATTTTCTATTTTATTGTTTTCCACTCTTTGTATTTCCATTCTTCTACTTTCTTTGGATTTAATTTGCTCTTATTTTTCTACCTACTAAGATACATGCTTAGGTAATTGATTTCAGACTCTTCTGATTTTTCTAACTAAAGTATTTAAAACTATAAGCTTCCTTCTAAATGCTACAGTAGCTATATGTCAAACATTTTGATATATTCTGACCACATCATTCAGTTCAAAATACTTTCTGCTACTCCTGATTTCTTCTTTGACCCAGAGGCACTTTAGAAATTTATTATTTAATTTCTAAACATTTCAGGCTTTTGAAATATCCTTTTGTTACTGATTCCTAATTTAATTTTACTAGTCAGAAAACATACTTTCTAAAGATTTTATCCTTTAGAGATCTACTGAAACTTGTTTTCTGACCCGTAAATGGTCTATCTTGATGAACATTCCCTGCATCTTTGGAAAACAATGTATATTCTGCAGTTGATGGGTATAGTGTTCAGATCCTTAATTACTTTTTTGTGTAGTTGTTCTATTATTTGCTGAGAGAAGCATATTAAAATCTCCTGCAATGACTATGGATTTCTCCATTTTTCTTTTTAGTTCTGAGTTTTCTATTTTTTTTAAGCTGTTTTTGGGCACAGTCATAATTTTTAGATATTCCTGATTGATCACTCTTTTATTCCACTGTCTGCAATATGCTGTCTAAAGGCATTCAGTGAATTATTTAGTTATTATACTTTTCATCTCTGCAGTTTTCATTTGATTTTTCTTATAGTTGCTATCTCTGTACTGAAATTCCCTATCTGTTCACTCATTATTTGAATATAATTTTAAGTCTTTCAACATATTTATAGTGGCTGTTTTGAATACTGTGCCTGCTAAATCCTCTATCTGGGCCATTTGTTCCACCTAGTTTAGGAGTTGAAGTAACTCCAACCCTTATCTTAGCCATACCACACAGTCTCTTTCACTTCCTACATGCTAGGCAAGCTGCCCGTGAAGTTTTCCCTGAGTAATGCAATGCACCATGCTGAATTCCAACAGAAGTACTACAATATTTAGAGGGTCATGTGGTTTCCTGATGAGAACATCTATTAACCCACAGACCTGGCTGAATTCAAATGCCATATCTGGTTCAGTGATCTTGGACAAGTTACCAAACCTTTGATCCATTTTCCTCATATCCATTTTATAGAATTATTAAGACAATAGCCCTAAGCATATACCAGGAAAACTGGTCATTACTAATTTAACATCTGTGTCAAATGGACATTTCTTATTTATAGTTAAGTCATTTTACAAATAATTTACAGGATAAATAAAAAGACAGCAGGAAACAATGTAAGATATATTTTAGTAAGAATTTAAACACAGCAAACCCAAATTTTATAACACAAACCATATTTAATATATTCAAACTTTCCTGGCATTGAAGGTGTGTGTATACACACACACACACATATACACCAAAATGGTCAAAATATTTTTAATGAAAATGACTATCAACGGTCATCATGAAGCTAAAAGACATCTATCTTGTAAATACTGATTTTGGATTTTCAATCTTTAAAATGTTCTACTTTACTATTACTTCTGGTTCTTATAAAAGGCAATACTGCTTTCAGATTTCAAATACATATTTTAATGAAGTATATATTTTCTGAAATATATATTTTTAATGAATTTAATATATATATTAAGTAGATTCTACCATATTATTACTTCTAGTTCTTCTTGTACTTACATTTTCAAAATGAAACACTTTTGAAATTTTTGATGGCTCAGAATTTTGTTGAAGGTGATCATTTCTGCTTCATAGTTACAAAAAAAACAGTTCATAGTGGGTTTACAAACATCAAAGAGAATGATGAATCCAATTAACTTTTTCATTTCCATATCATCTATTTGCTTCAAGCACTCTGAACACACATCAGACATCAGGATTTGTCCATTTAGGAACCATATCAAGTGAATTTTGGTGCCAAACATCATAAAAAATTAAAAATACTGTCACATGACTTTCTAGAAAAATGGGATGA